CTCACTCCTGTCTTTGTTACTACTATATGAAATCAGTAAAAAAAATATATGTTTGTTATCATTTAAAGATGTAATCGAAAATGTCCATGAATTAACAAATATACAAATTAAATAGGATAGAATGAGAGAAACACGATAAATCGAACACAAACCGAAAGTATGAAATGAATATATATTCAAATTATAAATGGATAACCACGACTAATCCTTTAGTTTTATGATGTGAGAAGAATGTGATAATCGCGAATAATGTTGACGCAAACAATCGGACGAGTCTCTCAAAATAACGACGCCAAAAGAGCGGTTATGTTCGTAAATAACCCAGCCTTTGTTATTCAATCTCATGTAACCATCTCTGCACCGTTACGCCAATATAATGCCAGCCATCTCAATCTTTCAAATTATTATTCATATCTCTCAATCCCGACCAAAAAGGGAGATAAACTGACAACCCCGTCTCTCGGCCGTTCCCCCCCCCGTCCCCCTCCATCTATTCCTCAAATCAAAGACCTCCGAACTTGTCTTTTTTTCATTGTTTTTTTATTATTATCATCATCATTTTCTTCTTCTAAAATGCCACTGTTCCTTCACGCCACTCGTAGCTGCGCCTTCTTATGGAAATCACTTGGCAACAGCGCTTGGTGACTCTGCACAAAAATGGCGGCGACTTGGCAGCGAGCGCTCACCGTCCTGAGAGTCGAAAGTAACGGTCGAAAAAAAAAAAAAAAAAGAGCTTGATCAGTCTGACAAACACTTCCTTTTTTCCTGACGATGAATATTCGCGGACATATTATAGGCCTTAGTACTCTCTCTCCGGTTCTAAGTTTAAGTCAGGCTATCGTCTTTTTTTTTTTCCTTCTCGTCTGCGCGTTCTGCTCGAGCGAAATCTCCCCTTGTACATCGCGTCTAGACATCGCGCAGACAAATCTCTGCGCTCGATCTGTCCAGAGCGAGCTGGCTTCGCGCCATGCTGACTCGGCCATGCTGACATTTATAGGTTTCAGCTTACGAGAGCGTGTCCTCGAGGGCGACTCGGCTTTGGAGTCTCAACCAAGGTGCCCCGACTGCCCGGTTCGATAACCACGCGGTCGGGTAGGGTATCCGTGTCGCTGTCTGTCCGGCTTTGAGGCTTTGAATGCCAGACGAACCGAAAGTGGCGCTGAAGTGTAATGTCATGTCCCGCCGCCTGACATGCTCCCCGTCTTTGTCTGGAAATGAACTGGCTTGTCGAAGATTCCTGTCGATCTAGTTTTTTTTCTTTCTTTCTTTCTTTTTTTAAGAGCACGTGTATCTAGATTGGAAGAACGATTAGGGTGATAGTTGTTGACATTCCAGCGATGCCTCTGCTTTTAATCACACTCGGCGTGGAGGCGGCTTCGTTCTCACTTAACCTAAAAGGAATTTATTGTCGAAAGTCTGAAGTCCGAAACATTTTTTTCGAGAGTTCTCCTTTTAGTTGACAATAAGCCAAGTATACGACAAAAAAACAAAACCAAAAAAACAAACCGAATAGCCAAGCACACAAGTTCGCAACTCCGGCCGTCCTATCTAAGATCTTAATCAAGAACAGAAGATGGAAGAGAGAGAGAGAGAGAAAAAAAGAAGAACGCTTTCCGCCACTTTCGGAGCGAGATGGCCGCGGGAGGACACATGTAATAGCGGGCAATACAGCAGCAATCACATCTCTGATATGTGAACGGAAGGGCCATTTTGCGGTAGTATACACATAGTGTTCCTCGTTATAATATAATAAGATATTTAACAGAGAACCACCCACCGGAAATAGAAAAACATAAAAGCCCCGCACTTTT